ATCTTCGCTTTGGTCTAAAGGTCGTAAACTAACACCTGCTTAGCGCAACGAGTCTAGAAACACTGAAAAATGAGGTCTATTTGTTGCAAACATGTTTTTGAATACGTTTATTTCCTACCGCTTTTATATTTTTTATTCTATTCTACAAGCATCGAATTTGAAGGCACCCTTCTAATTCGATGCTTATAGAAGCGCTGCAGTCGCGCATCTGTAGCGCTACAGAAACTTTAAGCGACCCCCACACTAGCGTCTTTCGAGTGTTAGCGTCTTGCCAACACACGCACAGCGTCGACACGAGTCTCCGCGCGGTGGCAACGTAGTATCTCTAACTAAATTGTTGACGCAACGCCAGCATTGAGCGACTACTGAGTGACGAACGTCGGGTATACGCCGCGCTAGCGTTACGTCGTGGTCGCGCGGAACATCCGCGCGGCAAGACGCTGATGCTCAAAAGAAGCCAGTGTGGGGGTCTATTAGTTCACTAATTGTGACTACAAAAATGGCGTCCGCGTGTCACGACAATGGCGCTTCAACTGTGCTTCTAAATATTGCATGAAAATTTGTAGCGGTGTGGCTGCAACACCACAGTGTACCGCCATTGGCGCACCATACAAGCGTTTCTATAAGCGTGAGTTTGAAGGCGCCCTAACAGAACAATACTTTTTGAATGTTTCTATTCCCACCGCCATACAACCAGGCAGTGTTTTTTTGTATTGGATTGTATTTAAACATATATGTACATATTTGAAATACAATTAATGCTGATGATATGTTAAAAGTGGGATAGAACAATTTCTTGGAAAGCTTGTTACTATCTGCAAGTTAAATAAGTAAAGTGATTAAACAAAGAATGAAGAAAATGGTTGATGGTTGCCAGAAATAAAAAACAGTTCTTTTCTGAATTAATTTATTTAAGGCTCAAAAATCAAGCATTGTGCTTGAAATAATTTGCCATTACATTTATTTTTATTTAAATCTTATTTACTTTTTTACTTACTCGAAAATTTCTACAGCAGCGTTGCTGTCTTCTTCTTCACTCTAAAAACAAATATTGAGGTATAATAATACAAAAGACCAAAAACGTATTCTCGCAATAAAGTCTAAATAAATAATCCTACTTATTCTTTCTACTTACCTAACATATTCGCGCTAACATCGTGCTTTTGCCGATTAATACGCTGGTGCAAATATTTTTCTCATATATTAAAATAAACGTTTATATATTACAAACGTTTCTTGTACAGGTTATTAAATGAATGTAACAAATAATAATAGTAACGTCAATAAAAAACAAATATGCGCGATTTAGATCCGAAAAAAAGATTTTTCATTTCCTATGTATATAATAATGTTTCATTGAAGAGTGCGGGTTTCACTGTTTTAGGTCACCCCATCTTGGTTCAATGCGAGTTGGTGACATCACTTAGCTGCTGTTAAATTGTGTGGAATGGCAGTATATAAATTGTGCTATGAGTACCAGAGCAACGGAATTTACTCTGAGGCACTTCACAGAACACGCAGACCAGAACCAATTAAGAAAAGTTCATTTCTCAAATTGGTCCAACCGGGAATCGAACCTGGCACCCCCTCTTCCAACGCCCACTGTATAAAGAGTTAGGCCACCGAGGTCGTTTATCTTTCTGTCATATTTGCAGTGGCTAAATTAAAATCTTTAATGTAGTTATAAAATTACCATTGACAATGTATTGCTGAGGAAATTGTATAATGCAACCCGGTTCCTGTAAAATACGTACAATATAATATAAAATTTCGTACATGGTAAGTTTGTTTCTTAAATCATGCGCCTGGTGTTAAGTAACACGCTTATTCATAACAGTTGCAGTGCCACTCAGAGCTTAGATCTTAAGTTTAGATCGTAAGGTCACTGTTACTTCGCCTGTCACCCTGAGACATAAGTCGATAAGTCTCACGTACCTGTAATTTCACCAGTACCCTTAAAGCTCTAACAAACCGGAGCATAATAATGTTTACAGTAATGTAAGTAATGCTTGGCAGCAGTACATAAAAAGGCAATCGGTAATGTGGCAGTACTTCCCTGGACGAACTTGTTCAAAAGGAATTCTACTATTACTAAATAGAATATTGTTACGAAATCAAAATGGCAGGCTACCCTAGCAGTAAAAATATAACAAACTAGTGGAGTAATTTCACAAAAACAACAATTTAATATCAATTCAATAAAAATTTAGAAGAAGTATTTATTAATTTGATCACAAAGTAATACTTACGCCATCTTTTTTAGACTCTGTTCTGACCCGATTATTAACTGAAATATATATTTTTTTCATGTCAGCCTCAGTCTTCATAATAAGTATTTGAAAATTAATTTTAATTAAATAAAAATTAAATTAAACTATACATACCATATATCGTTCTCTAAAAAAAGATAAGTAAAATTGTTATAGAAATACTTTAGTAGTAGCTCTATGTATACCAATATTCAGTTAAGTAATTTTGGCGCCTACCAAGAAAACTTTCAATCAGAAATTACTACCTTATTACATACTGTCGTCCACTAACTAAACGCGGCTAAGTGGCAAATAGGCAAATATCCGTTTTAAATAGCATAAGATAGAGCACAAAATTCTCTTTTAAAACAGTTAAAATTTGTTTATGTGTTCGACTTATCGAAACTTATCCTAACGGTGCATAACTGAAATATCATTAGACAATTTTAATATTCTAAAACTGAGTTCTGGTTTTTTTATGACATCTCAAAAAAATATTTTGTCATTAACCGCGTTTTAGCGGACGGCAGTATATACAAGCCGATACCACGCATATAATAATAAAAATAATTTTATTTAATTTTAGTTAAAATAAGTAAGTGAACGTGAAAGTTTGTGTGCGTGTGATTAAAACAAAATAGAACAACATAAAACCAGAGAGAGGCAATCGTAGAAGAACCAAACGTGTAGTTTATCTTAAGCCCATTTATAAGTCCCACTGTTTAGAACATAGTTCACCACGCTGCCCCAATGCGGGTTGGGAACTTCATACGCTTTACGAGGTTTAAGAACCTTCTTTGGACTTGCAGGTTTCATTCACAATGTTTTCCTTCAGCGAAAAACTCGTGATAAATTTCAAATCAACTTTCGCACATTAATTCCGAGAAACTCAGCGGTGCGAGTCCCGATTTGAACCCACGACTCTCTGCTTGAGAGGCAGTAGGTTTAATCATTAGGCTATCGCTTCTTATTTCTATGGTATAGTTAACGATATTCAAGTAATACATATACTTTAAAAAAAAACATGAATCAAAAGATTGCAGTTTCAAAAATCCTTTGAAGAAAGTCTATTTAAGTTATACCAACTGTGTATGATCCTTATTTCTGCCGCCCACTAACTAAAACGCGGCGACAAATGGTCCAATATCCATTTTAAATAGCAAACGATAGAGCACGAAATTCTCTTTAAAAAAAAGTTAAAATTAGTTAACGTGACCGACTTATCGGAACTTACCCTAACGATGCATCGCAGAAATACCATTAAACAATTTCAATATTCAAAACTGGGTTATGGTTTTTTTTATGATAACTCAAAAAATAATTTTGTCACTTACCCGGATTTTAGTTAACGGACGGCAGATTTTTACTATACTTCTTAATTGTTGAAGTTGCTAGCCACTATACACCACCACACCGCGTAATATTTTCTATGGCGGATGTTATTCCTTCCTCTGGTCGCAAATATTTTTACGCGGTCTCTATCGATTTTAACAATGCAAACTCGTGATAGACATTGTGATGAGAGCTTTACCTTAAGAGACATATGACATTTTTACAATTCATCATCACCATCATCATTAACCTGCTTTACGTCTCATCTCTGAGCACGGGTTGTATTGAGATGCAACCATTCTCCCACGACCGTTCATTATTTGTATATTTTAATGTTAAAGTAAATAAATTCTATTACAGATCGACCAACTTATCTAGAATATGAAAATAAAAGGGAAGACGTCACAAGATCTACTTGTCAAATTTTAGTTGTTAAAAGCAGTTGAAGCGAAAATGACGCAGTCAGACAAATGAGCGACTCCATCTTAACTAACAACCGCTGTCAGTTGATTTTATATGCTTTTTTTTTATTTTTAAGCTAGTAAGAGTGTTTGCGCTTTACGTCCGATTCATATCAGTTCTGAATTCGAGAAACTACTATCCGAAATGAACATATATTGTTTTATCTCTAAAGCGTACACCTAGGTGTACTAGCGATATTCGTATTTTCTTGGATTCGAATAGGACTTAGTGCACGAGTGACACGCGAAGTGGGTTCAAATTTTCTAGATTTGTATAGTCTGGGATTCTTAGTCTATATGCTAGTCACGCCGACTATCACCAAACTACTTTAAGAATACATCCCATTTGCTGGTATATTGCTGGAACTACACTCTAAAGCGATTTGGCGACTTCACACGATGTGCAAGGCCTGTGACCTTATTTTAACATGGAAATTTCATCACGATGTCCTTCGATGTCGATACCCTTCACAGTTAATGAGATTTTGTAACGAAATTATACATAGTATAATGGACTTTAAGTAAATTGTGTAACGTACAAACTAGATACGATAACATAGCGGCGGGATTTTCGGAGAGTGTGCGACAATTTTCCGTGCCCGACCTGTTTTTTGAATCGTATCTAGTTTGTACGTTACGGAATAAAGTTTATTACGCTACGATTACAGAAAGTAGCTTCTATTCCATTCCAGCAATGTAAATTGAGCGGGTCGCCTCAAATACGACGCTGCGATGCATTAAAATGAGCAATGCGAACATAACATCTACTATAAACTTTAACATATGCAAGATAAAGTTACATTTCTTTAAACTAAAAACAAAAGAGAAGGTGCAGCAAGCGGTACCGTGCGGCATCCAGCTGCAGCGGGCGCACTTACGAAATGCAATGTAACATAGAATATATTCTCGACTACATAAAGTATATAATTATTTGAATGCAAAATAACAAAAGAGTAAAGCCGCGCAGCGCAGCTCGACGCTGTGCTTTGCAGGTCATCAGCAGCTGTAAAAACTTTAAATGAACAGACTGTTACTAGGGTTACCAGAAACAAAGACGCTAGAGCCACATTTCATATGACACAAGTTGGTGGATCTGTTATATGATTTCTATTTAAGATTGGCCAGGAGGAAAAAGGGATACTTCCAAACTTTGACTATTTTACAATAGGTCTACCCTTTCTAGTCCGCATGATACTGGTATGTAATTACATATCCCTCGTTATAAACTTCGTAATAGACCTCCGAGAGAATAATGGACGCTCCATTATGCTATCCTGCGTGATAGGGGTTTCTTGGTTAAGAAGCCGATAATATCATTCTTGTTGGGTTGTTTGTCGGTTTTTATTGTGTTTTTAACCATTACGATCAAAATATTATCAAGGATTGTGTAGGTACTATATTCTTCTTTATTTTAGCCATAGACCTATTTGACATTATTAATTTGTTGTTTATAATGTTCCCACACGAGTGACTGTGGTGGTAAAATTATCAACCAGTCGTAACTATGGGACCAGTACATTGGTATATTTGAAAAAACATAACTTTTTTTATTTAAAAAAGCTGCCCTTTAAAGTTTGCTTATCGGCTTTTTTATTGGAATTGGTAACCTATCACAAACTCGAATTTATTTTGTCCGAAATAACGTTTGTTCGAAGTTTCATTACCCCGAAAACCGAATTATAACAAAACCGTTGTTCTTTCAGGATATGTTGGATATTTATCCCAAAGACACGGTTGGGTTCGGTTAGGTTAGGTTTAAAAGAAAAAATATTTTCCTCTCAAAATTACTTTCGAGGTTATGAACATTCGAGCAAACATTATTTCTGGGAAATGTCATTTCGGAGTTCTGATAGGTAACTAATGGAATTACATCTACTTGCCAAGTGTTATCGATTAACTGAAAGTGCCCGAAAAGGATTCATTCCTTAGTTTGCCACCCTTAGAGGTGGAATATTTTCTTCAAACTTAAATGGGAACAATACTGAGATAAAAAAGAATAATCAAAATCGGTTCACAAATGCCGGAGTAATCGTGTAACATACATACGAGGACCTACAAAAAAAAATAGTCGAATTGAGAGCCTCCTCCTTTTTTGAAGTCGGTTGAAAAAGAAAAATGGCCGACACATGCAAGCGGCACAAGACCTTAAGAGTTGACGTGATCTGAGGGAAGCTTATATCCGTCAGTGTTTACGTATCATCATCATCATCAATCCATTTATACGTCCCACTGCTAGGCACAGGTCTGCTCTTAGGCGAAGGTTTTAGGCCACAGTCTGCCACGCTGGCCCATTGCAGGTTGGGAATTTCATTCTTTTTCGAGGGTTGAAAGGTTCAACGTGCAGGTTTCATCACGATGATGATGTTTCCTTCACCGAAAAGCTCATGGTACCTAAATTTCAATTAAAATTTCGGAATTTATGTAATTCCGAAAAACTCAGAGATGCGTTCACGGATTCGAACTCACGACCTCTGCTTGAAATGCTGTAGGTCAAACCATGAGGCTACCATGGCATGGATACATATAAGACTAAGGACTCGATTGGCGCTAATGTTGGGATTTATTATCTAAATATTTGTTGTGTATGTGTTTATGGCGACGAAGAAGAATCGCTTTTTGTAAAATTTTTTGAAATTCAATAGATAAAGAAAAATACTAAAAATTAAACGTGAAAAATCCAAAAAGTTTCTAACCATGGCATGTAAAATCTTACATCTTTTGGCATCATAAAATGGTTCACTTTTCTATTGACATATTCGCACGAGCATCGTGCTTCTGCTGATTGATGCGCTGTAGAATATGTTTTCTAACGTTTATGAACGTTTCTCCTACAGCCATTAAACGAATGTAACAAATAATAATATGGACGTTCCGCGTGTATGTCAGCGATCATTGGTTTGTGTGAGTAGTGCTTACTTATCCTGTGAAATTTCGTTACTGCGTGTCGTTAAAGATTCAATATTTTGATATTGTGTGATGTTACGTCACTATTAACATTTTATATGGCCATATAGCAATGTACGCTAGCGCTCTGTGGAATAGCTACACTCAGTGCTCTCGGAATGCTCTGTGCGTGTAGTACAACAACGCCTTCAGGACGCTGTTGGGGCTGTCACGTTTCTGCAGTGCCTCAGCCATGTTCACTGCCGCGCGAGTAGATAGTTGCACGGTTGTTGTACATAAAAAGTCGGCGTCGCTACTGAAGAGAATACGTGACAGCCCCAATAGCCTCCTGGAGACATTTGCTGACAGGAATGAGTGCCTAATTATGCGGTACTTAAAAATAATATAAAGTCCCTGGTAAAATAGAAGTACTAATATAGTTTTAAGTCTGTACATACTAACATTTGATTGGATCTCAGTTGTCTCAATAAATAAATTTTATTAGTATATTATAGCGTTCTCTTGTATTCTTCAATGATAAAAAAGGAATTAAACGACGTAATAGTACGTTGTTCTACATCACTTACAAATGTTTAGAGCGGCATAGTAGGTAGTTCTCGTGAATGTGTTAAATCCGGAAAGAGCAACGTTGCTTAGTGATAGAAATGTATTGGACTCTAGAGAAACCTATCACCAGTAACCTTCTTGTTCCCATGAGAGTAATGTGTTACTCACCCTTGTTTCAAGTTCTTGTTTACATTCTTTGGACTTTTCCAAGGTTGGAGTCTTTTTATAAAAGACTTGACCTTATCACTCTGTGCAAGTATTAAAAGGAAAAAAACGTATTATTTTTGGCGCGTTTTGATATCTGGGGGGCTACTCTCGACCTCCGTCCGACATCCGTCCGAAACAATTACTGTCAAATAAGTAATATTCGACAAAATTGAAAGACAAGTATCCAGTATGAAGCTTCATTCGCATCACGGTCTTTTCATTTGGTCAAGTATTGTTTATTTGGCAGTAATTGTTTCGGACGGAGATCGAGAGTAGACCCCCAGAACTCGATAGGCAAAATCATCTTCAAATTGATTAGTTAGTGTTACATTATTACTTATTCTGTTTTCTTATGAAAAAATCAATACTTAAATGTTTCATTAAAGTTTAGTTTAAGTAAGTAATAAGGTACTTACAGTGTCAAGGTCTGAACGTCTGAAACTGCTGTACTTTAGTCTGTACGGCTCTCTGTTTCCATACCTGTAAAGCAATATTTCAGTAAAAACACCAATACACACATCAAAAATGTCTAGGTATCAAGGTTTTTTTATATATACCCTAATAAAATTGAATAAAAATATGCACAGAAATATTACTTTTTTTATTTATTTTTTAAATTATAAAATTGACAAAAAAACATCGGAGTTAAACAAAAATTAACTAATAATCTTGGTTTTCAGTAATTGACAAAAAGGTGCTTGATCCCCAGATATTTTAGATCACCATGTGACGTATCTAAAACTTACAACTATGCCGAAGACTCCGGTGCCTCGGGTTCAATTCCCGGCACGACACATTTTTCTAGATATGGATGTTATCGCTAATTACTCTGTTGTTAATTCTTGTACTGCTAGAAACTCGCTAATTTTTGTTTGTGTGTCACGTAACATGGCGTTACGTATTAGAATCAACAGCATATCAAGCAATACATTAATGTTCAAATATCGCATTCAATGCAACAGAACAAGAATTTAGCTTAATATGCTGCCATTCGTACAATCGCCGTATATATATATATTACATACCCAGGGCAATTAATCATTTTACGGCATACTCGTGTATGTATCATCTCCGTTCCATCATGGATGGAAAGTTTAAGATTTAATAAGAATTATTGCTTTCGAATTGCCAAAAGTTGCCATTACAGGTTTGAATTTAGAAACATTTTAACACTATTTATATTTCGTTTTTTTTTTAGAATTAGAGAAACCTAAACAAAGAAGCAGTAATTTTTTTCTTCAGACAACAAATTACAATAAATAAAAACATCATTACTAGTATTTATGCGGTCTGTGACCATTGATAACAAATGACATTTATAAATACCACGATAATATGTTATTACTTCATAAAAATTTTCTTTTTAATGTTTAGAACCTATGTTTCTTTAAGTTTTTTATATAACTAGTTTTTAAAATAGATCTAGATATATACTTATATAATGACACAATCAAAGTTTTCATTTAGTTGGAAAGTGGGTACATCAGTAATGGTCCCATTTATATATTTATTTTAAAGAAAATATTCTACCTCTAAGGATAGCAAACTAGGGGATGAATGAATTTTGAGATCGGTTTTTATTAGTATTCTGTACTGACATTATTTAATAAATGTGTTTATGCTTTGCTTACAAAGTGACAGAATGAAATGGCGCCTTATAAAAGACCCAAAATTTCCTTCTGTCTCATACAAAAAAAAAACGAAGCCTAGGTTGATAGAATATGCACATGGAAGGGTTTCTTATGATCGACTTTCAGATATTAAAGAAAGAAAGAAGGAAAACTGTTTATTACACAAGCACAGAGACGCATATAAACAAAACAACAGAGGAACAATAATAATAATAATAATTCAAAATTAATCTGTTAGGCCCTCGGAGAAGCGAGAGTCTAAAATAAATAATAATATAATAATAACTATAAAAATACAAAAATTAAATTAAAACAATTGCTAATCCAGTACCTAATTCACCGTCATGCTTATCGCGGCTGGTGCAATCGGAACTTCTCAGCTTTAGCCACAAACGGCTTTTTTTAAACCGTTTCGTGGCGCTGATTTTCAACAAGCCCGGGAGGAGTGGCCCACTGACAACAATACAGAACTCAACAATAAATAAACAAACAGATAAGAAAACCTACTTAATAGGTATTGTACATACAACTACATATAAATGAGAAATACTTACGATATGTAAATAACAGTATATCAATAAAATAAATTTAAATTCGAATATTTTTATACAAAAAATGTATAGGTAATTATGTGAAGTGTCATGTCCACTCGATCGGAGGGTCGAGGCGAGATGCTAGAGCGGAGGGTGACTTTCGAACAGGCAGCAACCTGTTCGGTTGCGCAAATGCGCTCCACATATTTTCTTTCCTTATCTCCTACGAATACCCAAACTGAATACCTGAGTCGCAATTATGCATTATCAGAATCTTTGATGCCTAATTACACTATGATTACTGTACAAAAATAACCCTTAAAATCTTCTTCATAAGGCGTGTTTACATACGATGGATAATATATAAATTTTATTACTGTATTCCAATATTTTCGTCATTTCCGTATACTATTTTGGCGGCTTTGTCCGATATTTCTTGGGCTCGTAACCCTTCTGCAGTCTTAAGAGAAGTACGAGCTTGTTTGGTCCGGAGTTTATTACGACTAATTATTGGAGGTTTCTTTTTAACTATAGCGTTTCTTGCTGCTTTTTTTGCGTTATGTTGCCCTGTTCGTATAGCAAACTTTTTCTTTTTTCTAAGATTTCCTTTTACCAAAGAACGTGCCTGTTTCTGAAAGAATATATTAATTTCGATATAATATGGTTCCTGAAGACTCACGGCGTCTCTGATGATTTTCGTGAAATACAAAATTTATATAAAAAAAATTAAAAACACAGCTACGCATTACAGACACCCTGTGCACAGTCAATGTAACTTCATTGACAGCGGAAATGAAACTATTTTTCCGGATTTAAATCGCGTATATTTGATTTTTCAAACAAATCAACGTTTCGTGCCCTTTACAGGTCCCATGGTCACGGTTGACCGAGGTGGTACAGTCATCAACCAGTTATTCATTGATATGTTTTAAGGTGACAATACATACAATGACAATATGCAAATGCGTTTGTCATGTCAAAGAGGGCAGAATAGCGCTCGCACCACATTGGATTAAAACAATATTTTGAAATGTCTAACACGCTCGCGCGACATATCCCACAACGTATAGTCCATAAAAGTATCAAATTAAAACTCTTTATCATAATATAATGAAAAAGGAACGTTGTTTTGTCACCATTTTTAGTATCTACTAAAACAATATCCTTTGCTAACCTTTTTCATAAGTACGATTCCAGTATTTCTGCTGTTGCTAGGTCCTTGGGAGTGATGGGATCTAAGATATTTTCCCAGATGTGGATCATTCGATTTGATATTTCGATCATGTTTTGGTCCTTTGCCGTAAATTTTATGTGGTGGTTTCCTGTAATATCCTTTTTGACTTCTTTCTGGCGACAGCGACTGTAATCTCGCACCTAGGTATAGATTTTGTAAAGCTGGTGATAATATTTATGGTTTTCCAATATTTACTTTACTGATTTTCATGTTTATTTTTGTGAAAATACTCCATAAAGTTTGTTGGTATTATTACGCTAAAACCAAATACGAAGACCAGGAACGATCATATTATGAAGAAGTTTGTAAGAACTGCTGACTCATTTCGTAGGTCAGTTGAGAGAGCGATTGCCCCGGTATGGCGAGGTCGCCGGTTCGGATCGAAGGAATTTTTGTTTGTATTTGTTCGATCTTTGTATCAATAATAAGAAACTAGGAGAGTATTTCCACAAACAATGCATTTAAACAAAATTTAAATTTCGATCCAAGAATTTGGTTCCATGTATGTGATTGTCACTGTTTTGTGCAGGACGAAGAGTACGTCAATGAGGACCAAAATTTTTAAGTCATATTTCTGCAAAATTTGTATGATTAAGATCAAACAAGCGAGTACATAGAGCGAGAAATTGTTTGCAATAGTATAACGACCCGGTTTAGGCTTATGAAATCTATTTCGCCGAATATCTAGTCTCGTATATTCACTCCCTGAATTCAGCACTTCCAATTCTGGGAATCATATGAACTGTACATTTAAAATGGAAACTTTTGTGATTCGTCATGTTTTCACATGGAAATTCATTTACTAGAAAACAAAGTAAGGTGTCATAGCATATTAAATTTATAGGTTCCACTGCTGCGCACGGGTCTCCTCTTGGGCTCAGAGAGAAACTCAGAGGTGCCAGTCCGGATTCCAACTCATGGCCTCTGTTTGAAAGGTGATAGTTCAAACCATTAGGCTACCATGACTTAGACAACAGGTTTTTTTTTATAATAATGTCAAGTGAAGGGACGAACAACCTGTGCGCCTAGCGCTAAGCTACACGCCTGTCCTAACACTGCGCCCGTCACCCTGAGACATAAGTTACCAAGTCTCATGTGCCTGTAATTTCACCAGCATGCGAACACAGTGATGCTGACATTACTGTCTGGCGGTAGAAATAGGTAAGGTGGCAGTATTTCCCAAGACAAACTCTTTCACAAGGAGCTGCGCTGTTACTAATGTTAAACCATTAGGTCACTGTACTAAAAGTGTTTATTTCGACGGGTGCTATTTTCACCCTGTATACCTGAACGTATATGATGCCCGTTGTAACCGTTGTTATTCTCTCTCGTATCATATGCTCGATGCCGTTTGTATGAGTTAGATCGGAAACGCTGATCATAAGACCGTCTTCTCGCGTTTTTAATAACATCCTTAATTGCTTGTACTCCGGAAGGATTCTTGATACTGAAATGCAAAACTCCTATATTTAAATGTCATACGAGCATAAGTGCAATCCGGTTTATTATGCGGTTAAAATTATTACTATCATAAACGTTAACGATGAACGTAAATGGTCGTGCGTATAAACTACTAACAGACGTGATCTCCACAACTGACGTTTGATCATCGTGGTGGATTTTGGTGTTAATAAAGAAGGCTTCATTAAAATTCCACCGTTAATATTAAAAACTTACCTACTGACTGGTTCTCGTTTAATTCCTGCTGTTGTAGGTGCATCCACAGATTGATCTTTAGATACACTGACCTGTGTATCATTGAGGCTACTGACAGGTACAGGTACGGATTTAAGTACACTATTAGATATAATATGCAGTACACCGTCAGGTATACTTTTAGGTAAAGAGACTAAAGGAACTCCCGGGTATACAGGCTCGCCAATATGAGAGGGTATATCAGGCACCTTTTGAATCCATTTAATATGTGGATTGTAGTATTTCTGCGAAATAATGATTTGAAACAATAAAAAAATAACAAGACAATCAACAAGACAAAACTTAATGAAGCTTACTAGGTACTACGTAAAGACATAAGCGGTAATGGCAGTCAAATAATAATTCATCCATTTTTTATTTGATTCTCTATTCAAATACCTAGTACCAAATCACTTAAATCCAGAAAGTGGAGAAGTGGAAAGGATCAAAAAGTTTGTTTTAAATTACGCAGACACACCCGGCGATACCGAAGTGGCTATCATAACATAAAAACAGAAATAAGAAAACGCTATTTTATAATCAAGCAGATTAGAAGTGCATATTAGAAAAAGCCTCGAGCAATTACGGCATATATCTATACTGAGCCTGAACGTACAAGCCAGGCGATTGGTTGTTATAGCCCCTCGGCAATCCTACGTTCCCTTGATACCGTCTACGTAAATTTAAATTATAAACGTTTTTTAATTTAACGATTGGTTGTTATAGCCCCTCGGCAATCCTACGTTCCCTTGATACCGTCTACGTAAATTTAAATTATAAACGTTTTTTAATTTAACGTATAGTCAAAAATTTCGACTACGTGTTCTCTGTCTCAATATGTTCTTGTGAAGGTGGAGGTTTGTCTCAAATACTTTCGTCCAATTAAGTCCTGAGAATTGATCGGTGCCAATGAATGGTACACTTGGCTGGTGAGTGGTCTATATTTAAGATATGTTCTTGTCCTTATCTGTGTCTATGACCGCACGTTAAACAAAACTATCAAGTCGCGTAAATCATAAACCATGTTCTATAAACAGGGTTACCTAGGAGTAAAAAAATTTGGAAACTAAAGTTACTATACCCACCTAAATCTTCGCGCAAACAAAATGTGTGAATACTCATTTTATATTATTTCTGTCTAGAGCTGTAGTCATTGTCACCTGCATATATCAGACTATTGAACTCTTTTGTCAGATTCTAATTTCTATTCAGAAATCATGAAAAGCATGATTTTGAATACTCTGGCTATTAACCGTATAAAATAAATTTCAGTCGTTTATTTTCCATCCCTAGATTTTGTTCGCAGGAGTTTACAAAAGAAAGCGTGGGAAGAGTTTAAAATAACGTGCTTGCTACCCTAAAATACCACCTAAATTACCCTATAATTCTCGTCACGTTTGTTTAACAAGCGTATGCGTCGAGAAAATCTAATTCTGCAGTTTCCATTCGCTTTATGAATAGTCTCCTGGCAGTTGCGGCAATTGTCAATTTAGACTAGAGTACTGTCAAAGGATACTTGTTAGCATTCATTAACATGGCATTTATATCGTTATCACATGCGTTGATGACAAAAAAATTTTTCTAAGTCTGCTATGAATTGGAACCCATTTATTTTTATAATATTTTAACGATGTTAAACCATCACCCCATTTACACTGTTGAGGAATGGAAGGAAAGCCAACTTTACAACAGCTGCGTAACCTACACAACTAGATACGAACCAAAAAACAGACCACGCGTCTTCCGGAGAATTATTGCGCAATCTCAAGCATTCCTGTAGATCGTATCTAGTTTGTTACACGTTACATAATTGATATAAAGTTCATTATCATGTACTGTTTCTTTCCAAAAATTTGCTTCCATTCCGTTTCGCAGTAATGTAGGCTCATTAAAATGATTTTAGCAAAATGTTCTGCAATAGGAGTATAGTCAATATTTAGGTTACCAAAACCCCACCATATTTTTTATTAGCGTCAATAAATTTCACGTTTCCTCATGAACAGTATTGTAATTAGGATCAGATGTTACTTACTTTACCAATTTTAATTTTCACTTCGTCAGGAGTTAAAACATCAAAAGTTGGATCCTGTACAAATTCTGCAACACTTTCATTGCGCCGTCCATTTCTTAACTGCTTTCCTGCTTCCTAGACAAAACAAAATTCTCATCATTGTTAAACATGTTTACGAGATTTCAGTGTCAGCCAAGATTTTAGCTCTTGATTATAATTTATAAAAGTATTCTTGGCGTGTTTAGTGTTCGTAAGAAATTTGATAAACGAAATGGACTGAAGGAATTTTTGACTCGTCACAGAATTATAGTTTAAGTCGTGTTGTGACTACATTTACACAAATTGTTATATATGTTGATAGAGCAATTTAGTGAATAATTTTTATTGCTTAAACAATCATGATCAACTCAGCGACTGAGGGACACAGCGGGCCGGAGCGGTGCCACTCGTTCGGAACAGCTCCCCACGTCATCTCCTTGGTTGCCCACTTTATTCCTTTTCTTTTAACCGACTTCATAAAAAGGAGGAGGTTCTCAATTCGTCTGTATGTTTTTTTTGTATATATGTTACGCGATAACTCCGCCGTTTCTAAACCAATTTTGTTGATTCTTTATTTGTAGCAAAGAAGGTACTCAGACGTGGTCCCATTTAAATTTCAAGAAAATATTCCATCTATAAGGGTGGCAAACTAGGGGATGAATGACTTTTGAGGTCGGTTTTTTTAACCGGAGGTTAGGTTATTGTCCACTTCAATTCGTCTCGTCGGGTGCGCGTACGGCGCAGCGCTATAATGGTATCATGAATATATCTATGTAATACGCTGCATCACTTAATCGCAACGCGTCGTATGGACCGGGAAATCTTATGCCTAAAACTACATAGTATTATAGTACGTAACAGATAAAAATAAAAGTAATATTACTGAACTAAACCTCTTAACTATAACTCAAAAATATTGAAAGAAATTATAGTAATTGGAAAGAGTAAGTTTGCTAAATATACTACTCTTAGTTATGCCATATGCGCGCGCGTGTGTGTATGGGTGTGTGTGTTTCTTTCTTAGTATACTATGTTATGTATGTAGACTGGAGAATGATAGTAAAAAAATCAGGTCCTCTCTATCTGAAACTACATTAAACGCCCTATGTTTGCCGTAGGCACGGCAACTATAAGAATAAAAAAATAATATAATTTAGGAAATGAAACAATTTTTTCGGATTTTAATCGCGTATATTTGTTTTTTCAAACAAACCGACGTTTTGGGCCCTTTACAGGTCCCATCAGTCAGTCAACCGTGACCATGGGACCTGTAAAGGGCCCGAAACGTCGGTTTGTTTGAAAAAACGAATATATTCATTTCCTATGTGTAACAATCGCGACAACCTAAGAACTCGATATAATATAATTTGTTATTTTATAACTCGAGTCTATAAAGAATTTGATTAATAACCTCGTTACTGTATCTGTCACGTTACAATTACAGCTCGCTAATGAGTACCCGGCTTAATACTGGTATTAGATGACGAATGGCAATGTGCGATAAAACGAAAAATTGGTTTTTGTGACACTGTACAAATACATGAAAAGTAATCTTCTGTGATATTTATAAATAAACACAACGTTAAAAACAATTAACAGCAATGCAAAGATTTCAATATTTATACATCAAGGCCAACATTACCAATATATCTCGAAAAAGGAAATTAAAATCAGATTCCTGAATGAATCGGATTCCTGCTTAAAATTACTTTTGCAATTCGAAATTTTACAATGTTATTAAAAACTTTTAATACGTTTTCGGTTTTAGCAGCTGCATGCAAAACACTAACACCGGATTATAGGGCTAAGGCCAATGGGAACTATCTAACTGTTAACCCAGTATCGAGCACTACATTTGCAGGGTTGATACCCATAATTCTCTGAAATTATGCACTGCAGTTAACAATACCCAATTAGTACCCTTAGTACAATAACCCCACATGTTATCATACTTCAAAAAAACTCTCATGTCATAAAATAAAAGTATTATTTTATTTTATTAATTAAATTATATAAATCACTGCCTCCGTGACTCAATGGCTACCAGGCTGGTTTGCCACGCAAAGGTCCAGGTCACCGAACCGGGAGAAATATTTGTATGGTCTACATTTATTTCTTTCGCGAGGTTGGATGTAGTTTGTGGTTGTCTATATGTCTGTCCATGGTACCTGCGATACAGGGTTTCTATAGTGCATGGCTATGAGTGTACGTTATTATTATATTATTAAAATATGATACGAATTACATGAAACTAATTTAGTACGTATGAAATTTTATAACTCTCCTTGTAAATACAAATATAGTAATAATCATGAATGCAGAAGGCAGTCCTGGTCGATGCGGCACGTATTGTTTGCTGGTTCTTGGACCTGAGTTTCTGGCCCTGGGAAAACCACCTCTATCATTTAAAAATTCAAAATCGATCTTTTGTGCCATGTTGAAGGCCAGAGTCTAAAACAGAATATTCAAAATAATAATAATAATGTGTCAGTCAACAACACCAATTGCCTGGTCAAAAGCTGCAGAATAGAAAAGTTCATAACCCAAATTGGTCCTTCCGGGAATCGAACCCGGGATCCCCGCATCCAGAAACACCGTTGGACTACTGAGGTAGGCAAAAGTCATAGACTAATTTCGTTCGCAGCATCTTTGAACCTCTCTCCTAAAAAGCTGTTATATTGTGTATGTGTATCAGTATATTATATGTGTATATTATTGTCAAACAAATGTATATAATTGTATACATGCATAGCTCCGAACTAGGTAAATCCGCGGGTGTCGTGAACACATACATAGACCGACCACAAATAACACCCAAACTCTCGAGAGAAATAAATATAGGCCATACAAATATTTCTTCCGACCCGGGAACCGAACCCGTGATCTCTACCTGGCAGTCTAGTATGGTAACCATTCGGTCATAGAGGCAGTTAAAAATAGTATTTTATGGTTGAATGATATAAATAAGTTAACCCATTCATAGACAGCAACATTGTTTATCTTAAAATTATTATAATTTCGAGTTCTTAGGTTTTCGCGATTGTTACACATAGGAAATGAAACTATTTATCGGATTTAAATCGCGTATATTTGTTTTTTCAAACAGACCGACGTTTCGGGCCCTTTACAGGTTGTAGTTACGGTTGAGTCAACCATGACCATGGGAGCAAATATACGCAATTTAAATCCGGAAAAATAGTTTCATTTCTTATTATTATAATTTTATAATATTATGTGACGGGACGAACAAGTCGTGCTCTTGATGGTAAGTTACACGCCTATCTATTTCAATTTCAATTCTTTATTGCATGTGTGTGTGATACATTACAAATTTAAGATGGAACATTAATTAATGGTATACATGTGACGCCCTGCAAGGGCACAGCAACAACTGAGGGCTAAATTCATAAATCACACTATTTAATTATATTAAATTATTACATTACAATATAATATCATAACATTAAATTATTATATCACATTATTACGTTGCATTATTCTTAATTAATAATGGAAAACATACTTTATACAATACATTAATTTCAATAATTATTAATGAGAGATGTCGAATTATTTTTATTTGTATTTATTTTAAACTCTCGCCTCTCCCAAGGCCTAAAAGATTAATTTTGAATTTTAAATGGGAGAGGCGGTATTTCCCGGCAATGGCACAGTCGGCCGAGGTCAGGGACTCAGGTCCAAGAATCGGCGAACAATACGTTGCGTATCGAGCAGGACCGCCTTCAGCATTTGTGCTGGAGCGACACGCCACATTTGTATTATTCGTATTATTACTGTTATTTGTCATCATATGTATCGTCAAAAAATTCATATAAGTTATAATAACATTTATTAACAAGAAATGCCTTCAGTCCTTTAGTAAATTGTGTAATTCTTTCCAGGTTTTTAATATAATTTGGTATGTGGTTTAAATTCTAATTAACATGGTGTGTGGGCCAGACGTAACTAATTTAATTTTGGAGATCTATAACAGTTGCAGTACCACTTAGAGCCTTAAATCACTCAGAGCCCGTCATCTTGGGACGTACCCTTACCCTTCCAAGGAGCTCTAATGCTACTAAACATTACTAAATATTAGAACATGATAGTACGGGACACCCTATTTCGCTGTATGGATCTCAAAAAACCAACTACGGGCTTTGTAGTACGATGTCCATATGCTTTCTGTGTAGCTGCCGCCTGCTGCTTTTCCATATACAAGTATCAACAACGTACTGACAAAATTCAGTGATTTGCATACCTTAAACTTTTTATATTGAATCAATAGAAGCACTACGGCAAGAAATTACTGACATTTTTGCGTGCGATAATATTTAAGTTATTTTTTTTTATTCAAATGTAAGTGTGCATTTGACCTCCATCTCACCTGATGGAAAGTGACGATGAAGTCGACAGTGGAGCATGCACACCTAAACGATGCCTATTCACTCTCGCCTTGAAAAGGTCCAAGTTATAACGTATACATACAAATAACTGTGACAATTCTACCAACCCTAAAAACAAAGGCAAGCACTCTATCTAGTCTCAGGTAACAGATTTAATATAAAATCGATATTCGACGTTACACTCCCTACATGTGGAGAAGCTTTGGTTTCCAATTATCTGGATAGCAGTGTTATGGCCCGAATACATCTTGTTGAGTGGCAGATTAGTTTTTATAACATCGACCCAGCTTACGGGATTACCGGGCTTCTGTGCAGCACCACGTAACATAATTTAGTACTGGTATTAATATCAGCTGTATTGTACCATACATACTAGATACTAAAGCTGAGATTTATGAAACGAACTTTTTTGACCTACATATATACTAAGCAAAAATTGTGCACTCACAACGTCACTACGTTCTCGTATTTACCACATTATGATTGTTATTGTTTTGGATATCTATTTTAGACTCTCCCATAGCCGAAAAGATCAATTTTCAATTTTTGAATTGGAGAGGCAATGGCCCAGTCGGCCGGGGTCAGGGACTCAGGTTCAAGAACCGGTGCACAATGTCGAGTAGGACGGCCTTCTTGCATTTGTGCTGGAAGCGACACGGCACATAAATGCAACCGCCTCAATCTGATAGCGAGCCTGACTGGAATTAACCCATTTGCGGACAAAACAATTGGGATTATTTCAGTAGAGTTTACATCTCATAGGTCGTTAATCTCGTGTGGCAGATCGATCCAATATCACAGTATCAGGCTTATTCGCAAGAATAGTCCTGTCTGTGATAATGGATCGGTCCCAATAGATTTTATTATAATTATCAAGGTGGCTCCAATCTGGGTCTGTCCAGTTTCTCATCACTGCGACCACTCTCACTCATCTCTGGTGACTCATCTATGGTGATTACTATTAATTACAGTTTGGAGCCAAGACTAACTAAAAGCATTAAAGAACTGAAGGATTTTCCTGACTTCGACAATTTTTATGTCCTCTGGTTTATGGCCCATGCCTCCCCAGTATGGAATGTCCAATAAGCGGCAGCATTGGGTAAGGAGATGCAAAGAAGTGGCAGAATCTACACTCTTTATTTTCTCTCAGCACCATATTTGACATGTGCTTGTTTATGCTACATGTCATTTTGCCATTTCTATCAGGGCATTTGAATGATATTCGTATATGCGTAAGACGAAGCAAGAAATTACGAAATAAAGTTAAAGTTTATAAGAATTTCTTGCACCAACTTAGAAAAAGTTCACGCAATTCACGAGTGCAAGAAATGAGGACAAGGTACAAGGAAACAAGTTATATGATTATCTTAAACAACTTGTTTACATCAATTGTTTTTTCAGTGTAATGTTGCAAAGATGACGTAATTATATAAAAAATGCGCTTACTCTCAATATTTCCACTAGTTTATTTGCCACGTCGCTGCTTGCTACCAACGCCAAATGCTGAAATAAGAATGGACATAATAATTTACCTAATGACAAATAGAAAATGCTTATTACTAATAAAATTATAGAACCAAAATTACGATGTGTTAATAATAAGATTATTTTACTTTTTTCCTTTAACAAATGTAACATTTTCCAGACGAAAAGACGCAAAAGTATAAAATAATGCAAAAGACAACAATTTAGACTATCTATTGGAATGATTGTACTAGACGATGTAATTCGAAATCAAAAATGTAAACAAACAACTGTCACTGTCAAAATGACATCTCATAGATCATAAACATTTTATTCCAGCCAGATCAGAAAAAAGTCAGAAAGGGACGTCTTCATCATAGACACGTTAATCAATAGCCGGTGCTAATTCATTTCATTAAATGATCTGGTACACCACAGTGAGACCGCATCTACCAGGGAGGTTCTAGCTGAAAATCAGTGCTGTGCAAACTTAGTTTGCTTATACTGAGTTCAGAATCCTCGTCACACATTTATAACCATAGTTATAATATTTTGTTTTATTTATTATTTATATTGTATAACTTTTCACCACACACGTCATCCGAAATCTGACAGTTCAGGGTGTACTTACCACAAATATTAAAACTAAAGTAGTTTTCTTCATAGTTCCCAACAGCTTACCAATGGCCAATATAAAAAAGGCACAACATGATCCCAAAAAAATATTTTCACTCTAAAAAATGATGTGCAGTTTCAGTGTAATGTTACAATTGCATAAACTTTCTTAAACAGGGGATCTGAAATTTTACTTTTGGTTTGAAAAAAAAAAAATTACGTTTACATTAATATATAAAAATACGAAAAAGTTATGCAAAGCAGCAATATAGCACGAAAATTGCTTTCATGAAACAAGTAACCTTTGATGTTCATACCATGAAATTAATATCCACGTATCTAGTAATTAGTTTTTAAACAACATACAGGAAATTACATCGTAATAATATATAAGTAATAAACCTACGTGCTTTTAATTTTGAACTTATCTAACAAATATCACTGCACCAACCAAATAGCAATGTGTGGGTCACAAAGGCCGTAGAACGGATGACCGGTGAAGCAGAAGAGTTCTGGGGTAGAGACCGAGGACACAAGTGTAAGACGCTTGAAGATTACATGGATAAATGACATACATGGCCGGAAAATCCTGGATGCAAATAATCCAAGAACGAAAACAAAGGCGTGAAAACCAGAACACTCAGTAATGCATGATTTTAGGCTGAAAAGGAAGAAGAAGAACAACACCTTTACTACCGGTAACTAAGTTGTTTTGAAAGACTCGAACGTTTCACTTTTAAGAAGAATGTGATCTGAAGATAGATACTTCTGAAAAAATGTATTAATCAATAAAATTATACCTATCGTAGTAGATTGAATGAAACTAAAATTATCAACTTTTTCTTATCTGTGCGTGTTCTAAGAATAGCGGTATTGCTATTGTCGTTGAACCGTGACGTTATTTGACTGGGTGTGGAAGGGCGTGGATACTGCCTGACATTCATGAGGTACTGCGTAATCACATTAAATAAAAAGATTGGCCCTTAAATGTATATGTAACAGGAGCATCACAATCAAAAGTTTAAGGTTCTTAGTTTCCAATGTCAAGAACAACACGTATTGTGAATGTTTTTCGTATTCCAAGATTCCAGAATGCAAAAAGCTGCACTAAACTCAATATGCATTGAGTGTCCAAAAATATATTGTTACATAGTCAAAAATACGCCCTAAGTAATATACTGATTTTTTATTTACATATGTACAGTACGAGCGCTCACAGATACACATAAACACTTTCTCTTTAAGACCGAAAACGACGTTGCCTTTCCGCACGGATCGTGTGACACACTCCGTATTTTTCAATCTTTTTACGCTTTTTCTGATTCGCTTCATATAAATCAGTCTCAATAAGTGTGGCTTCCTTATTCCCACTGAAACATAACGTATTAATTGTAAAATTTTGTATCGTGCTAAATTTTGAAATAAATAACCAAATACATCTATGATGCCGATAGCCACTTCACGGCCACTCTGAATATTCATGCCTTATCTCCATCAGCGTAGTGGGTAAGCCCTCGTTCACTCTAAGTTTGCTAAGGCCAATCGAGAACCCTCGGTTTCACTGCCTTTTCATGGTCGAAATATAAATTACCCCAGCTTACATTATAGCTTTTTAACAATGATTGACATTTTGCTAGATGGTCTCGATGATTTTAACCCCCGACGCAAAAAGAGAGGAATTAGAAGTTGAAACCCCTGTCTGTATGTCTGTTTGTGTCTGTCTGTGTGCGTCGTAAGTCCTAAACAGATGAACTTTTATATGAAAGCTAATTTAATCGGGGTGCTTCTTATATTTGCTGAATATCTATTCAGCTACTTCAAGATTATCAGTTATTTTCCCAATTAGTGGTGATAATCATAAAATGAATATTTATTTTAAGTTTCTCTTGTCCGATCGGCTTCAAATTTGACATAATATGAAAATCCGATGATATTACAATAATATTATAACTTTGATCTGATGCGAGTTAGGTAGTCGGCAGACTACCTAACTCCTAACTACTTGTAGTAGAACTATCGTGTTTGGACTGATTAAATTCATCTTGATAAGTTGTACGATGGTGACTTGAATAAATTGAATATTTGGAGTGCACTGTTTGCATCGTGGTTTTTTGATTATCAGATTCTTGTACTAAATTTTAAAGTAATTGTCAACTAAACGCGGTTCCTGTTCCGTGTCTCCCCTATGCATATATTAGTGATTTTCTTTTTTTAATAAGACATTAATCTTTATTGCAATCTTACTTAGTAGCTTTGTTTTTTATGGCTGGTTGGTTGAGGAATTGCTAGACACAGACTGTTAGAGAGTGGGTTCATGTTTTTGTTCGTGGCATTTTTGTGAACCAACGATATAATTGGTCAAATTAGCTTTAACATAGGCCCTTATCTGCTTTTCCTTTCAGTCTATTTTCTGAGAGTTTGGTAAATAAAATATTATTAGTAAAACTACACTGTACCAGAGTGGTAAAGAATTATTTATTACTTCCTCAATACAAAATAATTTATACGTACACCTAAAAATGGAATGTCAATTACATTCAGATATTATATTTTTAAATACTCTTATTATAATAGATGCGTTATATTATCGTAGTAAAGCTAAATATAAATACGATCATGTAACTGGAATGTAAAGAGTTAAAAAATCTTTGGTGTAAATCACAAATTATAAAAACTTAATTTGAAATAGGCGGTGGCACTTTCTTTGCAAAACTACCGATCATGTTTCCTGGCGGGAAGTAATTAGCTACAACATAAACATGACCATCTTTAGACTTCGCTACACCAACGCCAACTTCTTTGGTATCCTCCCAAACTACTTGAGTAAAATGTCCCGTTCCCAAGTTAGTTGGCTCCTTGCCAAATTTATGATCTTTAATTTCATTGTACCATTTGTCAACAGGATCCTTCCCGCTTACTACGAAGTTTGGATCGGAGGACCAAGCGTAAAAAATATTCTCTCCATAATCATTCTGGTCTCTGTGCTCCATTTTTCCTTTTTTAATCAATACCTTTGCCCATTCTTCAGCATATTTACAAAGTTTCTTATTAAGTTCAAGAAGAGGGACTCCATGTTTTCTTCTATAGTCATTATGAGCTTTCAAGAATTCTTCTTCAAATTTGTCTCCAGAAATATTAGTAGACTTAAATTTGTTTACTAAGTCTGTAGCAATTTCACCGAAGTTCTTACTATTTCTAGGAGATGTTGATGGTTGATTATTGCTCCTTGTTGTTGGTTTAAACGTTTGATTGGATTTAAACTGATTTGCACCAGGTGGCAAGACATTCTTTGTAAACTGACCACTGTAATTACCAGGAGGACTGTAGTTGGCCACAACATAAAGTTTCCCACTTGCGCTTTTTGCGCTTCCTACGCCCAATTCTTTGGTGTCTTTCCAGACTATCTGAGTAAAATGTCCGCATGTGAGTACTTCAGGCTCCCTTCCAAAGCTAAATTCATTTATTTCACTGTACCATTTGTCGACACAATCTTTTGCTGTAATTGTCGTGTTAGCATCAGCGGTCCATCCGCTATAAACGCTTTCACCATACATCTTGTTTAAACTGTATGCCATAGAATCTCTTTTGGCTAGTTCTTCTGCCCATTTTTGTGCTACTTTACTTATGTTCTTGTTTAAAACTAAAGGCGGGGCGGCATGCTCTCGTCTGTATTCATTGTGGATTTCTAATGCTTCATTTTCGAAGTCACTGGTTTTGGAACCGAAGAGTTTACTCTGAAACATTCAAAGAAATATTTTTATATAAATATTACAGCTTGACTTCAAGTATTAATTTTATAAAAAACAAAAACTGACTGACAAGAAATGACTGCCTCCGTGGCCGAACGGTTACCATGCCGGACTGCCACGCAGAGGTCCCAGGTTCGATTCCCGGGCCGGGAGAAATATTTATATGGCCTACATTTATTTCTTTCGTGAGTTTGGGTGTTATATGTGGTTGTCTATGTGTGTGTCCATAGCACCCGCGACACAGGGTGTCCCTAATTATTATTTATTATATTTATAATATTATTATTTATTATTATTATAACTACAATATTACTATAAAAGACGAATATTAACCAAAGCAGGAGATTTTTGAATATTCATATTTTGATATATATTTTTTTGTATTTTTTTTTCTTAAGCTCTAAAGATAGTCAATGTTAATGGTAAATTAATATTTTTGAAATGTTCATTGACATGAAACGAAACATACTTTTTTTTTTATTATTAGTGTTAAATTTTTTTTCAAAATCTGAATTATGTATATTCCTATACTATGAGTACATCTACATTACGAAAGAGAAATGAAAACTTCTGGCATGGAACTGGAATAACTAACGCAGTGAAATACTTTAGCCAAGGCGGTACATTAATCTATTATGACTGTTTTCAAATGCAAGTGATTTCCCTTGATATTCTGTCTGGATTCATCTTCAGGTCTCTGAAGGATGCTTTGAATTTGGAATCATATGTTACCTTGCAGAATTCTTGACAAGAGTGCTGTACTAGGTTGATTTAAACGTGAGCGTATTACAAGGTTCAATTTTGGTACCTATGAATAGTAGTACAGTGCATCTATAATATAATATAATATAATCGCAATCAGTAAATATGAAGAAATTCTACAGTCAATAAACTTTATAACGTTACTTGAAATGTATAATGAAGAAACCGCCGGGAACCGCTTTATTCAATGATAATATAAAACAGTGTCAACAGGCCCCATAGCATTTATTAACTTACATTTTAAATAAAATGATAGCTAGTGCTTCGACCGAGATAGAAAAACCAAAGAAAACGAATCATCTATTTGTTTTTTGAGGCAAGGTTTAACTTTAGTTCCATGTCTTTCCAAGCTACATTCAAAGACTTATCTGATCATTTACAGGTGTCTACTTATTACTGTTTACTTGGAGGGTATTTCAATTTCTAATTTAACTTTTATAAAGTTAGCTGCACGTAACTTGAAGAGGTTAGTTGTTTAGCGCGGTCCCGGAGATTAATCCCGCTACTTTCTGATTGTAACAACGTTCCCTCAACTCAACTTTTATAGCTTCTTTACAAAAATACTTTAACTTTGGCGTCAATTGCTTGATCACATTTTTTCGAGTTTAGTGTATCTATTTGTCGCGGTATCAGAAATAAGAACAGAACATTATATTTTAACAGAGATCTGTGTGGCTTAATATGAAATTTCAACAATTCAAATGTGTATTGGTGGAAAATTAATAAGAAAGCCGTTTAATAATAATAATAATAACGCACACATTCAACATTGCCCCGTACTAGGGAAAACCCTGTGTCGCGGGTGCCATGGACACACACATTACACCCAAACTCACAAGAGAAATAAATGTAGGCCATACAAATATTTCTCCAGGCCCGGGAATCGAACCTAGGACCTCTGCGTAGCAGTCCGGCATGGTTACCGCTCAACCACCGAGGCAGTTCATGCATGCAGTTCATTAATGATCATAATACAACAAAAGATTTGCAACAAGCGCATAGAGAAATTCATAAGATCCGCTAACTCGTTTCGTAGCTCATTTTGTACACCATGATTAGGCAACAAGCGCTGGTTCGAATCCACACCATGAGACATCGATCCAGTCAGATCGAAGGAAT